ACACACAAACACACCCCGCCCCTCCCCCCTCTCCCCTCTCCCACAATTAACTTTTACTAATACTCATAAAAAATAATTATAAAAGTCAGAACAGTGAACAGTTACAGATGAAAGCCAAGGATTTTTTTTTTTATGAACGAGAACATTGGTATTGAAGGAAAGTTTAAGGTTAATTAGCACCTGCATGACAATATAACCAATAACACACAGTCCGGCAAAATATAGGAACAAAACCAAACACAAAATAGAGTAGGCTATAATTAAAGGACAGCCTGGATATGGTACGCCCTCCTCCTATACCCACGCCATAAAAGACATCATGATATGATACGACCAGTGACCTCCCCATCTTTTTATGTAATAATGGTTCATATAAGACATATATTATTAGCTTAGTAACTTTAAAGATCCCCCTTTAAGACCCTCTCCCTATAAGCCAATTTTTACCTTCTTTATTTCCCCTGATTACTCAAACATTTATCTAAATCTTCATATATTTTTTTATTCTAAAAGATGAAAACATACACCATAGAATTAAAGGTAAAACCCCACATACACCATAGGGACCCCTCGGATAATCTCAGACTCCGGCCAAGCCTGACAAAGAAACAAAGTACTGTACCTAACGGAAGCAGAGACATTTCTCTACTGTCGGGCACAACCGTAAGTTAGAGACCCGAGGTACATAACAATTATATTATATATATACTTCCCTATAAGAACAAGAATATATACAATAAATACACTTTCAAAATATACAAATAATTTCAATTATTTTTATAATTTTTATAGATATACATTATTACAAGCCTTCTTGGCCAATTTTTAACCTCCCCCAACGATACAAAAACACTAGTTAGGAACAACAGCCAGAGTTGCATTAACTGGCCGACAAACCATTTAGGACCAAGGAGTCGCCTCCAAATTTCATAAAAATATACGGATAGGATATAGCGTAGGTGACTCCAACCAACCCCCTGATAGGATATAGCATAGGCGACTCCAACCCACCCCCTGATAGGATATAGCTTAAGCGACTCCAACCCACCCCCTGATAGGATATAGCATAGGCGACTCCAACCAACCCCCTGATAGGATATAGTATAGGCGACTCCAACCCACCCCCTGATAGGATATAGCATAGGCGACTCCAACCCACCCCCTGATAGGATATAGCTTAGGCGACTCCAACCCACCCCCTGAGGAAAGGCAACTCCCCTCGCGCCGACAGAACACCAACTTCCGTCAGTGAGATCAAACCCGTAAGGGCGGATTCATGTAGGCGCAAAACCCTTCAACCAACCAACCAACCAACCAACCAACAACATGGGTTTTCCCTGGGTACTCCGGTTTCCTCCCATACTAAGACCCCCCCCCTTTAAAACACATTGAATTCATGTTAAATTTGCCCTATGATGACATACACAAGGGTTATTATCACATTCTCATACTGTGTTCAATTTGCCTGTTCAGTCATGCTGTTCATACACAGGACAACCATATTCAACCGTTCTCATTTTGAATTCAGCTCTAAATCTAATTTAAAGTGTAAAATAAAATGGGCCTGGATACGTATAATGGCTTTCTTTTATAAATCATTGGAATTTCAATGTATACATTAAAAACATCTACAGGTGCTGGTGTAAATGATGAATAGGGAAGGTTAGCTTACATGTGTTGGTAAGGTTTGGCAGAATTTATATTTTTTTTCCTGTCTGGACAGTCCGTTTAGTGGCAGGGCCATTTGTATAACAGATCACGCTATTATGGTGCAATATCATTGGAATTTGTTTAAAATCTCAGACATGCTGTATTTTTATTGATTATGTAAATTTAAACATTATACAACAATATTGAAAATCAGTAGAATGTGTTTTAGATATGCTTGGCTTTGTTTGAGGTATGAAGTTTGATGGAGAATGTACCTTGTAATAATACTGTGGCATTACTGTAGAACAATAAGACTTTACCAAAGGTTAACTTTCGACCATTTTGTCCTTCGTGATGGGGATGAATCCATAATGATAGTGAATATAGAATACAGCATGATTAACTTCACACAGCACGTCCATCGTAGAGAGCGAAATTAACACAGGGCAATATGAAAGGAAAATATATCAATAGGCAAAATCGTCTTGGTATCATTAAGAATGTAAAATAAAATAAAATGAAAGGTTTTGTTGCACTTTGCTGTCTAGTGATCGCAGAACGAAAGAACAGTTATTATAAGCTGATTCCCTCTCATTTTAATTCCCATAACTCTAGTCTGATCTATACTCTAGTGCCCAGAAACTTTCGCTGTTAAACTTTCAATTTTTCGATAGAGATAATGTTTTACTTCAGGAATAACACGAAATGAAACGGAAACCAATAATTGAATTAAATATCCCCCACAGAAACATTTCTATTTATTAGATTACGTAATGTATTTACAAACTGTCATCTTCCTGTGCATCACCCTGAGCCCTCAATTATTATGATGGATTTATTGTTGTTGAAGGCTCATCAATTGTCAAAGATTGCTTCTGTCATCATAATTAGATATAAAATAAAGGACCGTTGTATAAATGCTAACCAAAATCTCAATGATGGTCCTCAATAGCATGCCAAAATAATATTGGATGTCCAGCTGATCTGTCAGAGTCTTTCTGCTGGCAAGATGATTTGTCTACAACTGAGTGTCACTACGCACACACACCAGTCAGAGATGTATTGATCCCCCACCATGTCCACAGATCACGTTTAACACTAGCAATTTATTTCTGCAGTACGTAAGGAAGCAGATACTGGTCCCGTAATGCCTACCAGCTACCCCCTTGACAATTATTGTCAGAATTTGTGTCTCTATATTTAGAGTCGTATTACACCAAGTTCCATTTGGCAGCCTCTTGACATGGGCTTTTCTCATTTTCTCTTAAGATTGAATTATCTGGCTTCTGAAAAACAACATAAAACTAAGGCTAATAGTATTGTGGATGATTATCTAGATTTTATCCTGCGAAATAATGGGAAATGAGGACAAACATTTTGTAATGTTAGGAAGCAGGCATGATCTACAGCAGTGGTAAAGGCTTAACAGGATTTTTTAAGTTTGGTCATCCATATTTAGTTTAAGCATTAATTATTAGCTCACCTGGCCAGAAGTGCCAAGTGAGCATATGCCGTGGTGCAGCGTCCGTCGTCCGTCTGTCCACCGTCAACCTTTTAGTTTAAACAACTTCTTCTCAGTAACCAAAAGGGCTAGGGTAATGATATTTGGCCAGAAGCATGCTGGGATGAAGGGTTACCAAGTTTGTTCAAATAAATGACCTTCAACCATTTTCAAGGTCACAGGGGTCAAGTATGTTAAAATCTGTAAACAACTTCTTCTGAATAACCAAGAGGCCTAGGGTGATGATATTTGACCAGTAACATGCTGGGATGAAGGGGTACCAAGTTTGTTCAAATAAATGACCTTGATTTATATTCAAGGTCACTGGAGTCAAATATCTTTAAAACCTTAAAACGACTTCTTCTGAATAACCAAGAGGCTTAGGGTGATGATATTTGGCCAGTTACATGCTGAAATGAAGGGCTACCAAGTTTGTTCAAATAAATGACCTTGATTTATATTCAAGGTCACTGGCGTCAAATATGTTTAAAACCTTTAAACGACTTCTTCTGAATAACCGAGAGGCCTATATATAGGGTGATGATATTTGGCCAGTAACATGCTGGAATGAAGGGCTTCCAAGTTTGTTTAAATAAATGACCTTGATTTATGTTCAAGGTCACTGGGGTCAAATATGTTTAAAACCTTAAAACGACTTCTTCTAAATTACTGAGAGGCCTAGGATGATGATATTTGGCCAGTAACATGCTTGGATGAAGGGCTACCAAATTTGTTCAAATAAATGACCTTGATTTATATTCAAGGTCACAGGGGTGAAATATGTTAAAATCCTTTAAACGACTTCTTCTGAATAACCGTGAGGCTGGGATGAAGGGCTACCAAGTTTGTTCAAATGAATGACCTTTGCCCATTTTTTCTGAATTACTTTAAACTTTAAGTCAAGACGCTGATATTTTGCCTGTAGCTTTATATTACTAGTCCTCTTTTAAGGTTACAATTGTGAGATTAATACCAGGTGAGCGATGCAGGCCCATTGGGCCTCTTGTACTACTATCAACAAAAGCGCTCCTCAGCGAGGAAAAGTCATGTCCTACATGTTGATGTTCACAAGACCACTTGTTGTGGACACAAGGACATATTCATCATAAGTAAGAACTTGCAATACGTATGTTTGAGGCAAAGTTGTAATAATGAAACACTTAATACTTAGGACTTGATTCAACACAGCTTCCATATTACTAAATGATGTTATACGAGGGACAAGATTAAAAAAAATTGCAAGCTTTCATCTTCTAGATATATATATCCTCAAATTAGGAAAATAATTTTCATTCACAAAAGTCANATATAGGGTGATGATATTTGGCCAGTAACATGCTGGAATGAAGGGCTTCCAAGTTTGTTTAAATAAATGACCTTGATTTATGTTCAAGGTCACTGGGGTCAAATATGTTTAAAACCTTAAAACGACTTCTTCTAAATTACTGAGAGGCCTAGGATGATGATATTTGGCCAGTAACATGCTTGGATGAAGGGCTACCAAATTTGTTCAAATAAATGACCTTGATTTATATTCAAGGTCACAGGGGTGAAATATGTTAAAATCCTTTAAACGACTTCTTCTGAATAACCGTGAGGCTGGGATGAAGGGCTACCAAGTTTGTTCAAATGAATGACCTTTGCCCATTTTTTCTGAATTACTTTAAACTTTAAGTCAAGACGCTGATATTTTGCCTGTAGCTTTATATTACTAGTCCTCTTTTAAGGTTACAATTGTGAGATTAATACCAGGTGAGCGATGCAGGCCCATTGGGCCTCTTGTACTACTATCAACAAAAGCGCTCCTCAGCGAGGAAAAGTCATGTCCTACATGTTGATGTTCACAAGACCACTTGTTGTGGACACAAGGACATATTCATCATAAGTAAGAACTTGCAATACGTATGTTTGAGGCAAAGTTGTAATAATGAAACACTTAATACTTAGGACTTGATTCAACACAGCTTCCATATTACTAAATGATGTTATACGAGGGACAAGATTAAAAAAAATTGCAAGCTTTCATCTTCTAGATATATATATCCTCAAATTAGGAAAATAATTTTCATTCACAAAAGTCAATGTCTTAGATGTAATTTGAGATAAAATTTGAGTAATTCTACTTTGGTGATGTAATATTGCTTTTTATTGGTCAATAATCATGAATTATGATTGAAGGTCAGAGTCTGAGTTTGAGCATGAGAAGGGTTTCTTGAATACAATCCCTGCAGGCCCATGCACTTTCCTTTTTGTGGGAATGATACCAGGCATCTAAGGGGTATACTTATGCTGAACAACTGATTTTTAAAAAAAAGTTTCAATATGATCAATGGTTCTGATTGGCTGAGTTGCATAGGGAGTAGTACATTTGATGTAAAATGACAGACTTTCAAGTTTTGGGAATCAACAATACGATGTTGTACTATTTCAGGATGTAAATACACGGGCCATTGGGGTGAATGTAACCCTGTAACAGGGAAGAGGACAAGGACCCTCCAACCAAAACAACACAACCAGCCAGATTGTCTGCAGCCCAAGATCCAGACCAAGGATTGTAGTAAGTTTTCCATTCACTCTAAGCTCTCCTCCCCTCACTCTGAGCTGTCCTTCCCTCACTCTGAGCTGTCCTCCACTCACTCTGAACTGTCCTCCACTCACTCTGAGCTGTCCTCCACTCACTCTGAGCTGTCGTCCACTCACTCTGAGCTGTACTCCTTCCCTCACTCTGAGCTCTCCTCCACTCACTCTGAACTGTCCTCCACTCATTCTGAGCTGTCTTCCACTCACTCTGAGCTCTACTCCCCTCACTCTGAGCTGTCCTCCACTCACTCTGAGCTCTCCTCCTCTCACTCTGAACTTTTCTCCACTCACTCTGAACTGTTCTCCACACACTCTGAGCTGTCCACCTCTCCCTCTTAACTCTCCTCCACTCACTCTGAACGGTTCTCCACTCACTCTGAACTGTCCTCCACTCATTCTGAGCTTTCCTCCTCTCACTCTGAACTTTTCTCCACTCACTCTGATCTGTCCTCCACTCACTCAGAGCTCTCCTCTCCCCTCGCTCTGAGCTGTCCTCAACTCACTCTGAACTGTTCTCCACTCACTCTGAGCTGTCCTCCACTCACTCTGAGCAGTCCTCCACTCACTCTGAGCTCTCCTCCACTCACTCTGAGCTGTCCTTCACTCATTCTGAGCTGTCCTCCACTCACTCTGAACTGTTCTCCACTCACTCTGACCTGTCCTCCACTCACTCTGACCTGTCCTCCACTCACTCTGACCTCTCCTCCACTCACTCTGACCTGTCCTCCACTCACTCCGAGCTGTCCTCCACTCACTATGAGATCTCCTCCCCTCCCTCTGAACTGTCCTCCACTCACTCGGAGCAGTCCTCCACTCACTCTGAACTGTCCTCCACTCCCTCTGAACTGTTCTCCACTCACTCTGAGCAGTCCTCCCCTCACTCTGAGCTGTCGTCCACTCACTCTGAGCTGTCCCCCACTCACTCTGAGCTGTCCTTCTCTCATTCTGAGCTGTCCTCCACTCACTCTGAGCTCTCCTCCCCTCACTCTGAGTTGTCCTCCCCTCACTCTGAGCTCTCCTCCACTCATCTGAGCTCTCCTCTCCCTTCACTCTGAGCTGTCTTCCCCTCACTCTGAGCTGTTCTCCCCTCACTCTGAGCTCTACTCCCCTCACTCTGAGCTCTACTCCCCTCACTCTGAGCTGTCCTCCCCTCACTCTGAGCTGTCGTCCACTCACTCTGAGCTCTCCTCTCGTCACTCTGAGCTGTCCTCCCCTCACTCTGAGCTGTCCTCCCCTCACTCTGAGCTAGATGAAATGTATATATATAAATACCAGAACACTTTTGCCTGGTTAAATATTTGCCCTTTTCCAATAAAATCCAAGGTTGTTGAGTGTTTATTTCGCCCTTCACATGTAATAACTATACATTGCATGTACTATTATTTGCTCTCGTGATAAATTTAACCTAATTGGAGAGAGTCAAAAAGGCGAAAGTTAAACTGCAACGAACAATTCCTAGTATACAGTAATTATGTACACCATAGACGATTACTTACAACAATTAATATTAAATTACCTACAACATTGTAATAACATAAAACTAATTGTAAACTACTAACAACATCGTAATAACATTCAATTCATTGTAAATACAAGTACTTGTGACAATAACACAGACATAGTTTGCCAATTAAAGCACATACTGAAATAAGAAGCTTTACATTTGTGTGAGTTAGCCAGAATATAGTCCAAGCATTAGAAGTTTTTTGTCACCTTTGCTTTGTAATTTAGTGTTTAGGACATCTTCATGTTTTAATTTCTTTATTGATAACAGGTGCGTGTAAGTACACACAGGCCACTTTGGGGCCATGTAACCCCATTAACAGGACACAGGAGGTCAGGAAAGCGCTGGCCCCTGGCACAAGTCCAGACCTGAACTGTGAACCCTTCAAGATCAAGGTGAAAAGGTGCAAGCCAAATAGAGGTAACTACATCACTGTGATAGCTTAAGCTTGTTTGTTACACATATCTTTCACAAATTTATGTGGCTTTCCCTTTGTCCCTTGTTGTGCTTGTTTTATTTTGAGACTGATTTGAAAAGCAGGATGGCCACCTGGCAGCCATCTTGGATTTTAGGAGTTCAAGTTGGATATTCTAAAGAAGTCAACAATGACATGTCTTTCAAAGGATACTCTCATACCCAGCTGTATGAAATTTTAATAAAAAGTTATCATAAGTTCATAATAAAATAACCAATTACAAGTTAATTAAGATTCATTAATAATAGTATGGACCTCTGATGTACATGTATTTCATGTCACATTAATGTAATACTGCTACAGTACTGATGCCAATTAATCCTGGTTAATACTGATAATGCCTAGATCTTCAATTCCAAGTTTATAGTTTGGTCCACATGCAGTTAACTGTTTATGGGTTTTTTTGCAGTGAATTTAAAGTGTCTGTATGGAAAGCGTGTAATTGGTGAGTGTGACAGAACAACCAATACCATGGTCCTCAACTTTCCGCTGCTTCCTGGACAGGACCCTAGTTGTCCACAAAAGAACAAAACCAAGCCTTGCAGGAAAATGAAAAGTAAGTAATCAGCAGTTTTCTATTTATCTGACTTTCCTATGGAAATAATTCTGTGATTTCTTTATGGGAACAATTATGTGAATTCCCTATGGGAACAATTCTGTGATTTCCCTATGGGAACAATTCTGTGATTTCCCTGTGGGAACAATTCTGTGATTTCTCTATGGGAACAATTCCGAGATTTCCCTATGGGAAGAATTCTGTGAATGCCCTATGGGAACAATTCCGAGATTTCTCTATGGGAACAATTCAGAGATTTCCCTATGGGAATAATTCTGTGAATTCCCTTTGGGAACAATTCTGTGTTTTCTCTATGGGAACAATTCCGAGATTTCTCTATGGGAACAATTCAGAGATTTCCCTATGGGAACAATTCTGTGTTTTCTCTATGGGAACAATTCTGTGAATTCCCTATGGGAACAATTCCGAGATTTCCCTATGGGAACAATTCGATGATTTCTCTATGGGAACAATTCTGTGAATTCCCTATGGGAACAATTCTGTGAATTCCCTATGGGAACAATTCTGTGATTTCCCTATGGGAACAATTCTGTGATTTCTCTATGGGAACAATTCTGTGTTTTCTTTATGGGAACAATTCTGTGAATTCTCTATGGGAACAATTCTGTGATTTCCCTATGGGAACAATTCTGTGTTTTCTCTATGGGAACAATTCTGTGTTTTCTCTATGGGAACAATTCTGTGATTTCCCTATGGGAACAACTCTGTGTTTTCTCTATGGGAACAATTCTGTGTTTTCTCTATGGGAACAATTCTGTGATTTCTTTATGGGAACAATTCTGTGTTTTCCCTATGGGAACAATTCCGAGATTTCTCTATGGGAACAATTCTATGATTTCCCTATGGGAACAATTCTGTGTTTTCTCTATGGGAACAATTCTGTGAGTTCCCTATGGGAACAATTCCGAGATTTCCCTATGGGAACAATTCTGTGATTTCCCTATGGGAACAATTCTGTGAATTCCCTATGGGAACAATTCCGAGATTTCCCTATGGGAACAATTCTATGATTTCCCTATGGGAACAATTCTATGATTTCTCTATGGGAACAATTCTGTGATTTCCCTGTGGGAACAATTCGATGATTTCTCTATGGGAACAATTCTGTGATTTCCCTATGGGAACATTTCTATGATTTCCCTGTGGGAACAATTCTGTGATTTCCCTATGGGAACAATTATGTGATTTCCCTATTGGAACAATTCTGTGATTTCCCTATGGGAACAATTCTGTGATTTCCCGGTGGGAACAATTCTGTGATTTCCCTATGGGAACAATTATGTTATTTCCCTATTGGAACAATTCTGTGATTTCCCTATGGGAACAATTATGTTATTTCCCTATTGGAACAATTCTGTGATTTCCCTATGGGAACAATTATGTGATTTCCCTATCGGAACAATTCTGTGATTTCCCTATGGGAACAATTATGTGACTTCCCTATTGGAACAATTCTGTGATTTCCCTATGGGAACAATTATGTTATTTCCCTATTGGAACAATTCTGTGATTTCCCTATGGGAACAATTCGATGATTTCTCTATGGGAACAATTCTGTGAATTCCCTATGGGAACAATTCTGTGATTTCCCTGTGGGAACAATTCTATGATTTCTCTATGGGAACAATTCTGTGTTTTCTCTATGGGAACAATTCTGTGTTTTCTCTATGGGAACAATTATGTGATTTCCCTGTAGGAACAATTCTGTGATTTCTCTATGGAAACAATTCTGTGATTTCCCTGTAGGAACAATTCTGTGATTTCTCTATGGAAAAAATTCTGTGATTTCCCTGTAGGAACAATTCTGTGATTTCTCTATGGAAAAAATTCTGTGATTTCCCTGTAGGAACAATTCTGTGATTTCTCTATGGAAAAAATTCTGTGATTTCCCTGTAGGAACAATTCTGTGATTTCTCTATGGGAACAATTATGTGATTTCCCCACAGAACAAGTTTCTTATAGAGTCACAATATTTATAGCCTCCTGGGGGAGAAGACTTTCATATTTGATTAAATGAATGTCCTTGACCCACTTACAATGACACAGGGGACAAATATATTAGAAACAAAAATAAAAGGTCTTCATTTTCATGATAAAAACATTGTACAAAATCATCAAATTTATATCCATGTAAAAGACATTCCTTGACAACTTGACAAGTGTGGATTAAAGCTGTTGTTGTCATGGCGTTAAGTACACAGTGTGCTCCATAAAACATGTCCTTTATCATATATCACATACTTTTGTAACTGTATTAAGTAACTCGGTTACCAGATCAGGAAATGTGGGGAATGCTTTTTAAAGTTTGAGACATTAATCATTGAGTGGCTGCAGGCTAAAATAAGTCTGCACCCATATACATCTGTAGTTATATCTTTGACAAGAGCGAATTGGCAGCATGAACAGAAATATTTAGCATGTGTTTACAAATACATTTGTTGGCATGTTGTAAAACGATCTATTTTATGTGACACTCATAAAACATGCTGGGTGTGATATATGGGGCTTATACATTGGTGGTGGGATAAATCAGGCCTTAGATTTCCTTAACACATGTTACAATGCAACCTTGATATTTTCCTGTTAATGTCGGGTAAGGTAATCCTATTATTAAACCCTACAGGAACGTATGATTGTCAAAACCAAACTGCCTTTATCTTCAGTTTGAAGGTTAAAATGACATTAATAAATAACCATTACGGCAGGATGTATTCCGACTGTCCTTTTCTTTAGGTGAAATTTTCTATCGGTGAAATTATCTCATGAAGATTCCATATCTAGCGAAAACAAAACTTACAAACTTTTAAATTCTGTACTCTGTACTGTGTTGATTAGAGCCATGTTCTCATTACAAGATTGTTGTCAGAAACGTAGGTCAAAAGCAGAACATGTACTGACAATAACATCAAGGTCAAATGGGGCTTTAATGTACAAGGATAGATCCTAATAGCAAATATCTTTGTATTTGGTCAAAGATGAAATATTACACATTTTGGTGTTAATGACAATTGTACAATGTGTATAGAGATATTCATTGATGTTGTATATTTTCAGACAAGTGTAAGTACGACAAATCCGCTGAGTGGGATACCTCAGCCTGTCCTGGTGGCAATGCAACAAGAACCTTAAATTTGAAGCCAGGACAAGACACAACACTGTGTGAGGCGACACGTGAAATGACAGTCAAATGTAGAAAACTTGAAAAGAAAATGAGCAGGAAGACAAAGAAGAGAGAGGGAAGGAAGGAAAAGAAGAAGCAACGCCGACAAGACAGGCGTCGCCAGAACCGCAAGGACCCTGACCCAGGTAGTCCTGGTTTAATTGATGCAAATGCATAGACTGTGTTTATCTATATTTAGCACTGTGACACTATAATCAAAGCTGTGTGTATGATCCTGACTCAAGCACTTAATTGATCAAGTTTTTTATTAGAGAAACACAATTGTAAGTCCATTTTACTATTAGGTCCATTGACTGAAATGATTTGTAACCCCCTAACCTCCACTGTAAAGACGTTTCAGTAAGTGTTAACATGGCTGTATCCCTAAGATTTGAAAACTGTTTTATTGATCAGGACTTTTCACACAGCTTTCTTTATATGATTTGTATGCTATATATATATAACATCAGACACATGTCTATCATGGTAGCGCTGGGTATACTTTACAAGATGTATTACTGGAAAGACATTTCCTCTCAGAATCATTTTAGTCATATGCTGGATACAAATTGTTGCTGTTGAATTTCTAGAGCTAAAAAGTGTAAGAAAAATTGGTAGCAGTAGTCTCCATGTTACAGATGTATGAGGAATGTTCTACTTTTGTTTAAGAATTTTGATGGCATTACAGAGCTTTTCCACAGGAAAAATCTAGATGAGAACGTATGCAAGCATCATATTTTAAAACAGCATTTTGGTCGTAGGAACATTTTTAAAAAATTGAAGAAATCTTTCGATGTGAAAGAAGAGCTTAGGTTTTGATTTTCGAAAGTTTTTCAATGAGATTGCTGTTCTTGGTTTTTCAGTAGAACTGCACCAGGTGGTTTAATTATATTGAATCATCGAAAATCATTTCTCATCTTATCCAGTCGTAACTATTTTGTCTTCAACATTTTTGTTGTGGGTAGCATACGCAGCTACCATTGTTGAAGTTGATGAGTCACGTATGTAAGGCTGTGACAGGAAGTGAAGGCCCACCAGTTCTGTTCCATACTTCGGCATGTGTGCGTGTTCACCTGTATGCTTTGTGTCATTTGCATGGTTGCTATGGGGATCTTTTGTGCATATATCAAATGTAAGAACAATAGTACTCAATACATTCCTGTTCAAACAGAGCATGCAAATGGATCTTGTGAAATAGTAATTTTCTTCAGAAGAAAATTTTGAAATATTAACGGATGTGGTTGCATGATTGCTCTGTGACTAGTGGCTGTAAAGGTTGGGGTATTAATGCACATTTGGAAATTACTACCAAATCAGATTAGCTGTACTTTTTAGGAGAAAGGTACAAATCTTGTGATAATTATCTTGAAAATTTGTAATAAAGCCGTGTATTTGTGAGATCTCTATACAAAGGCTGGGGGTTAATTCCAGAAGCCTAAGGAGTGATGTGAGCTACAAATATACATATGACACAAACCTAACACGGAGAATGTGATACTGTTGTAGATTGATGCCTGTCATGTATATAACATTGTAAAGTATCCTTGTAACTCACTGTGCCCACATGTACACAAGCAGTAACTTATGTATTAGCAACCCTCATGTCATGTTGTCTTTGCAATAAAATCTACTTTAATCATTTTTTATTTGTAAATACTTTTTCATTAAGATTTTTATTGAATTTCAATTATTTTTTTATTCTTATTTCACACTTAATTATTTTTATAATTTGTTTTCTTAAACAATATGTTTTATTGTCCCTTCAGCCTTGAGTTTGTAATCATACTATCATGGTTTGTAAGATGATAAATTACCACTCCTTAAAACTGTTCTACAGATAACAATGTGTCATCTGAAAGTGTCTCCAGACTAAAAGAAATAGGGGAAACATTTAATTTTATCTTTTTCTATACTTGAAACATTACAGTAATATTAAAGCAGTTTCTCACCATCTACTGCAATATGGGGAGTTCAGTATCTTGATTTTTATCTGAAGAGAAAATAGTTACTGCCATGTCATCATTAATTGATCAGGATTTTGCCAACATTTGTCATGAAAGCTGGCATTTATGTTACAAAGAAGAATTCTAGTTTTTTCCCATGAGTACCACTGATGGAAAGGAATTCTAACAATCAATATATCCATGTAGCTTGCTGTATGACATGTGATGTTGTTTCTATACGTGATATTATTGGTATAACCCTTGTAAAACTTAGTGTATTAATGTATCATTGTAATGTTTAGTATATGTATAGCTGCTACAGAATTTTTTTGTCAAGAGTATTTTTTCAGTACGAACAGTGTTGATAATGAACTATCCCAGGCTTGCCAGAATTGATTCCTGAAAAATATTGATTTCAATTTTGGTTAACAACACAAAAAATAAATAAGACATGATATATTTTTTATATGATTTGATCTTCTGTATTCTGGAATTGTTCATGTTACTCCTGTCCTTAACTCTATATATGATTTTGTTTGTCTTTTGTAGCTTAATAAAAAATACAAAAACAGTAACTTATAGCTGTTCATGTTGTTAATTTTCCCCGTTTAATTTAACATTTTTAACTCACATGGCACCCATGCATGCGAGCATGCTATGAAATGGTGCTTTGTCCATCGTCCATTCCTCTCAATTTTTTTTTGTTAGCATTTCTTCTTCAGAACCATGAGGCCTACGAGATTCAGAAATTGGTTTGTATCTTACTTGGACAAAGGGTCATCGGTTGTGTTTAACCTAATGACTTTGATTCGTTTTCAATTCGTTTTCAAGGTCACATAATGCATTTGAATTCTGGATTAGTTAGGATTACCTTGTGTGATGCCTAGAGTGTTCAAAGTCAGTATTTAGCATGCTGGGAAGAAAGGCCATCAATTTTGTTCAAATGAATGAGCTTTCGCTTGTTCCAAGTCCACAGTGATCAAATGACATGCTAAATTTCAAACATCTTCTTGGGAGTCCGTAAACCTGGAGTCATGATATTAAGATGTCACTTGGTGGGGTGAATCCCAAACAAGTTTGTTCAGGTAAAAATAACCTTGAGATTCTTTCAAGAACACTCAGGTCAAACTCTTGTTGAACTCTAAAAAAAGAACAATGAGGGTAAAAGTTACTTTTTTTTACCATTACTTTCAAAGTCAAAGTGGTAAGAAATGTGTGATTTTTTTAAAAGAGAGTCTTTTTTAGAATCATGAGTCATAGAGTCATGATATTTGGACTGAAGTTGGTTGAATAAAGGGGCATCTATAATTATTACGGAATCTCAAACCCAAATTTCCTGCATTCTCTAAAGAACTTCATGTATTCCTAATTATGTAACAGGATTAGTCAGGATCAGGTGAGCAACACATGGGCCTTTTGTTTACATTATAACGGGAGAGATAAAGAACATGACATGTATTAATTTCTTTTTTAAATTAGGAAATGCTAGCTTTTGAATGTTGTTGAAAATTGAAGGTTCAAATTTAAACCAACAAGATCATTTGTATTAATACATCTGTTCATATAAGGAAATAATGAATTATACATGAGATGTGGAGATGGTGCTCCTATAGGTAATAACAAGCTTAAGTTAGGTGATCAGGCATGATGGACGATTCTGTCTTTGATTGGTGATAAAATATTGATGTGAATGTATGGTAATGATTGACTTCTCCAGCAACAGAACATCTTTTGAGGTGTACCCTATCTCACTTAATATTTCACCGTTGAAAACAAAAGGCAATACTAAATCTCTTGAACAATCTTGAACAATGCCAGTTTGATTTATGTCAATTAACAAATGAGAGCAAAGTCCAAGGAAAAACAGCAAACCAGTTATTTTAATGCTAAAGAAGTCATTTGATTTCATTTAATACTTTATTGTCCTATTGGCAACAGAGTGTTCTTGTTTTGTTAAATACGGTACATGATGAGGTATTATGCAAACTCCTCAACAAGTTATGGCATTGACGGGGCAGAATTAGACCACCATATGGAGAGGAAGACCATTAGAGCACCATATGGAGAGGAAGACCAGGGATTGGCCATTGATTGCTGACCATTATGACTTGCTGTTCCAGCAGGCTGTTGATGACATACTTCTTTTACACCAAACCTCATTTTCATCACCAAAGTTTTGGTTATTTGAAGAAAAAACCCGATGATGGAACTTTTTTTCCCAGGGATTGTAATGACACTGTTGAATGACTTGGTGAAATCGTCAACTTTAGGTTCACATTTTAGGATATATCGGAGAATTATCAACCACAGTACCAATATTCATGTAAAATTTAGTTTTTGTTTAACGAGATACACACAGTACAAAAAAAATCAATTTTCGTTTTGAACCTAAATTTATTGGCTTTATAGGGTGAAATAGCATAAGAACTATTAATTTGCATATGTCAGCTGTCAGCTGCATTTGAATGTTTTCCATGTAGGAGAAATTGCATTGATATCGTGGAATCTAATTGATTTGTCGTGTTGGCCAGACTGAAATGTGACATGTACCCTAGCATTTGATTGGTTGTTTGCACATTGTAACCTATGCATGCACAATTACTCTTGGCTGTATTGAACTAAATCCAGCCTTTTGGCAACAGCTAGCTTGGAGATTCAATACAGAAGTTTGTTGGGTTTTTAACATGTAAATTATATCAGTCAAGGTATAGAACAGAAATACTGTCACCTGCGTTAAGTAATGGGGGAAAATAGGCGAGATAAAGCTTCTATGGAGCCTTAAGGGTAACCACACTGTAACTAATGGGGGAGGGGGGTCCTAGTTCCTGGCTTGAATCACAAATGATGATATATATACGTTTTGTAAAGGATTAAGAAAACCTCTCCAGGGTATCACAGGAAAGCAGTGCATTGTATAGCAGATGTATACATGCAGAGATTTGTAAAACAGCTCAGAAATTGTCTCAGTATGATGAAATTCAGAATTGAACAATGGAAACAGAAAATGTAGAAATGCATGATGTTCATTTTTTACGGCAGATAAGGAATTGAATCTGTTTTGCTCCTTGAAAAAGAATCTATTGCAAAACTTCTGCATATTGGTTATATATTATATATGAACAATAGCTTTACTTTGACCACAAGTTTCTACAACATAACATCCAATTCCATTTGTCCTTTGATACAAAATAATAAAATCAAAT